AAAAAAGTAAATGGCTGAAATTTGAGCCAACTCTTTTCAAGCCATTTGAGAACAATGTTAAGGTTTTGAAAATCCATATTTTAAATAGACTGAAGTGGAATGATTTCAGAATGTGAATGAAGATTTAAAAGCTGATCTTTCTCAACTTTTCCTTCCCTATCCCTCATTTTTCTAATCACAGCACGTGATTTCAACCCATGGACATTCGTGTGCATAGGGAGAGTTGAGTATTTCCATCCTCAATTGCAAACTATAAGACTGTTCCTCCAGAGGAGAAACTAATTATGAAATCAAGAGAAAATCCTCACTTAAGGAAGTACTTCCTTAAAAAAACATTCAGAAAACAAACCAGCTACAATGCTGTGGATGATTTAACTCAAATGGATTCTTAACAGTCTGATTAGCATACATATGAAGGCCTCTGCTAATGAGCCATAATCTACATATTTAAGCAGCCTGAATCATGTTAGTGAGGTTAGTGTTCACATTGGGCAAACTTAGCTGTGGATTCCTGCTGAAAAAGTGTAGATTTAAAATACACTGCTGAAAACAGAGATTTCCAGTTTACATGTATACACACATAGGCACACACAATACTCCATACAAAGAAATAAAACACCTAGCATATAAAGGATCTGAAAACAGACTTTGAACGGTTGTCTGAAGATCTCATTACTACTTCTAAGTTGTAATGTAGATTATTTACTTTTTGTTTAGTAAGTTATGAAAAGCCAGCCATTTGGTTTGCAATCTTGGCAAGGCTAAGTGTCGACTGACGCACCATTGCTTGTTAATTATAACTTTGTTAGGGTTTTATGCTTTATTTTCTGTGAGTGGGTCTGCTTGATAGTCTCTGATAATTTTGCACTGCATTCTTATTTCTATTTTTTTATCTCTGCAAACCTCAGCCTGGGTGAAGTCAGTACCATTAGCCTCTCTGCTTTGAGCCCCCCTCTCAAAATATTTGCAGTTCCATGACATTGCGTCATCTGCCCTGAATCTTACCTTTTCCTGTATAATTATAGTTTGAGAATTCTTCTAAGACACTGTGATTTTTAACAGCACTATTTCCTCTATACATTTATCTAAAGTTCAGAAAGATTTATACTTTCTCTCACTTTTTAAAATAAAGTTGGGTTTAAATTATAACTTGTGCTACTCCTCCCAATGGGGGGATCAACTGTTTTCTCTAATCACCCACCTCAAAGCTGAAAGGGCCCAGAGGTGACACAATAGTATTTACTTCCTTGATGACATCCTTTTCTTTCTTAATAGCCTGTAAGTCCATTGGCTGTGGGTGTCCTGTCTAGCTCATTCTCCAGAGTTAAGGGAGAAAATGCTAAGTAAAGGCATTCTCAAGAAAAATCGGAGGTTACAGCAGTAACTACCAAGCAGTTACACCAAGGCAGAAAGAGACAGGCCAGGTTGTGTGAAAGCCAGGGGACTTTTGGGAGGAGATTTTATTTGTTTGCCAACTTGTATGCTGCCTCAGTCATAGTTCCCCCTGATGGATTCAGCCCTGCTGTTAAAAAATCAAGTGGCTTCTTTTTTTACCTTTCAAAAATACAGTTTTTCCTTTATCTTGTCAGCAAAATGTCTTCTCCATATTTACCCCTTTCCCATCTTGATTATTGCAGTATTTTTCCCCTGGTCTTCCACTGTCTCAGTATTCATGAAAATTGAGATTGCCCACATTATCCAACTTCTTTATCATCATGGGGATTTCCTTCCTTAATACCTTCTCTGACTTTCTATTCATGCTCAGATCCTGAATAAGTTTCACAAGATTCCACGGTTTTGCATTTTTTTACCTCTCTACAGTTCAGAAATATCTGGGCCCCCAAAGTTGGTAACTAATTCTATTTATTATCCAGTTAATCAACTCTTTTTCCCTAAGCTCCATGTGTGTGTTCCTCCATCCTGTGTCAATTTGAGATTTTAAGTTCCATTTTAAAATAGGTTAATTTATTAATTTAATTTATAGACTGCCCAACTCCCAGTGACTTTGAGAAGTTTATGTCATGCATGTTCTTTGTAAAACACAATATATTTAAATTATGCTACACAACTGAATGGGCAGATTCAGACATGGTTGTGCTTAAAATAGACCCAATGGAATAAACGGGATGAATCAATTGGTTTGTGATGATCAACATGCAATGAGAAGGCCTCATCTACTTGAAGCAATGCCCTACCTGCTTCTTTTGTGTGTTGTTATCAATATGCTTTCCTTCATGCCAGAATAGGTTCCCAGACAAAATAGAGAACAAAGAAAAACTGGAATTCTAGCCAGGCCAGAATTCAAATCTGTTCTCTGAAAACTGGCTTTGATGGGATGATTTCAACTGCAGGCAAAGAACCTAAAAGCTACATATTCTCCACCGGGATACCGGTCTTTGAAAGAAAGCATTACCAGTTTGGAAGGAGCGTAGAAGATTCTTGGAAAGTTAACACTACCAATGCAGAATTGCCAGTGTGTTGACCTATGACATGGGTGCTGGTTGAATCTAGGGAACAACTGACATGGCTTTTTTCAACTGATAGAAAGAATCCCATTCGAAGGAAACTTGAGATCAAGGTTTTCTTCCCCAACCAACAAGGTTTTTGTTTTTATAACCTCACCTCTGGGAGCTTGAGAAGTTGTCTTTTTAAAAAAATATATATTTTCCTTGGTTGGAGTTTTCAGCTTCTTTTCCTATTAGAGCAGGTGGAAATTACTAGGGTAGCTATTGAATGTCTTTTCTGTGACATGTCTTTCCATCAGTAGGAAGTCTCTGCTGCTCACTCTTCCAAGTATGAATGAGTCCTACGGAAGAAGTTCCCTTCTGATATTGTCCCTCGGGATTCAATGGAAATGTGGGAATTGAGAGAAGCTATACACTACTAGTGAGAAGACTGTACAAGGAAAGATAATGGATTCACATCCAACCTTGGGCCACCATGCAAGCCACCTATGAAAATGTCATCCTGATTTTCTTTTCCTTTGAAAGAAATCTTTGCTTCCTTTGAAATCAAATTCTCTTTCATTTAATTAAGTGAAATAAATGAAGGAGAATCAATAAGAAAGAAATACGGTAGAATTATTCTGCACAGCAGCACTTCTGATGCTGCTATGAATGCTATTCTATACTAGGGAAAGACCATGTTGTATTTGTAGGCATCTTTATTTTTCCCATGGTCTGGAGTCTTCTGCAGCCATCTCCAAGAGAATGACGAAGACTACCATTCTCACATACCTGGCATTGCAAGAGACCAAAAAAGACCCCCTCTGCAAACAAGAATATATTCATACAACACAAACACTTAAGCAATACAGTCCATGTTATTCAGTCTGTGTTTACCTTGGGTTGAAATGCTCCTTGCAGCGACCCAAAAGGACCAGTTGGCGGTATCATAGGAGGGATCCCAGATACAGCAGGAGGGTAGGAGTGGAATAACTATGGCAGAAAGAGATCAGTATTAAAGGAGCCTATTGACTTTCTTCTTCTTTTTTACATACAAGTCTTGAAATTTCAATTTACAAGAAAACAAAAGAGGTACACGCATGAATGAGTGGGTGAACTGGTTGTGTAAAACCATGAAGGGCCACTGAAGTTTATTAACTTATTGAGTACTGGGTAAAGGAGGAAATGATAAGCCTACAAAGAAATGCCAACAAAGACACCAAAAGGTTATGCAGAGTATTTATGACATGCAAGATGAGAAGATGAGAGATGACTGGTGTGGAGAGAAGATCTCGGCTGTGAGGACGCATCATGAGCCAAAACTGTAGCAGGTACAAAATGGCAGATAGCTCTGCAGTCTTGCCTTATGTGAGCAAGGGGAAGGAACTAGTGCAGGAAGATCTCATTGTCAATTGCATTAGATCCAGTACTTAAATCATTGCATGCAGATTTCAGGGACCAGCTCCATAGACTTTTCATTCAACTTCCAGACAGCTTCTCAGTTACTGCTGATACTTGGTAAGTACAATATAATTCAACTTAATGGTTGCAAGACTGGATAAAGTAGAAATGGGAAAATTCAGGAGGGAATTGACTTACGGATAGGATTTAATTTTTTTTAAATGCATTTTTTATTCTCGACATAAGCATGTTTGGCTTTGACCCACACACACTTGCTTGTTATTCTGATCACACGAGGCCTCAGAACCCTGTTATGCAGTTAACATCTATCTCTCAGTCTCTCCTAGAAAAGTGATACATCCATGACTTAAATAATACAGAACATAGGAAGATGTTCTTTGTACACTCAGACTACTGATTCATTTAGCTTAATAGAGATGTGCAAAATTAATTGATCCAGGAATGGAACATTCTGTTTCCCTTCAGAAAGTTCTGCTTGCCTCTGGACTATACCATTCTGGGGGAGGTTCTGAGTTCTGAGAAGTCCATCATTTGAATTTAAACAATTCAAGGTGATCTGGCAGATGGTCCAGCCCCCAACACTCTCTTTCATCCAAAATATCACATCTGGAACATCTCAAGCCACTTCCAGTTCAGGGGATATACTTCTGGAAGCCACCAATTATCTCCAGAACAGAATGATCTGGGAAGAGATTTGTCATAGTCTGGAGAGCAATAGGTCATTCTGTTCCAAGACTGAAAAATTTTGCACACTTCTGTTGTTTAAACTGACCATCCACAGTCTTCAGGATTTCCCATCCATACTTGGAGAGCCAGGAGACTGAACTTGAGACCATCTTTATCCAAAATATGCGTTTTGCCATTGAGCAAAACACAGTTGCTTTTGAACTGAAAAGCAGTTTAGAAAGTGGGCTCTTCCCCAGTTTTCTATATATTGGAAAAGGAAGGAAAAAATGCTCTGCAATTTTTGATATGAGACTAGGCAAAAATTACCGTTTAATTGAAGATGGGGAAGAAACTGTTATGAGTTCCAAGATTCTTGGTTCCCACTCCCCCCTGCTATTAAAATGCAATTAAGAGTACAGAATTTATGTATTATATCTAGCAATGAAAAGTATGCAGAGTTCCAATATTATTAGTGTGATATACTGACTATCTCATCACACTGAGTATACAAAGAAATAATATCTCAGCTTCCCCTCCACCCCTTATCTCTTGAATAATTACTTAATTCTCTGCAAAAGGCACAAATGGGAAATGCAATAATATCTAGCTAACCTGGAAGCTTTGTATAAGTAGATGCAATGTTTCTCAACCTCGAGAACTTTAAGATGTGAGGACTTCAATTCCCAGAATTCCCCAGCCAGCATACTGGGTTCCTAAGGGTGAGAAACACTCTACTCGAGACTTGAGATTCCAAGCATAGTTTATGGCTATCACTTGAACTACAGGTTGGAAGTGGCATATAAATGTTATAAATAAATACATTGTTGGTATTCATTAGGTTTATATCCTGCATGTTCTCCAGGAGCAAATGTCAGCTTGCAGAACAGTATCCTTTCATTGTATTCCCACAACAGTTATCCTGTGAAGCAGGTTGGGTTGTGAGAGGGAGACTAGCCCCAGTCAGTTTCCATGGCTGAAAGAGGATTTGAAACTGGGTTTCCCTAGTTCTAATCTAACACCTTAAACAGTACACCCACTTCAACAGTATTTTACATTTTGCCACTTAGCATGGATTCATTGACTGACTCCACTACCAACATTACTCTCTAGCTTTCTTGATTGAAAGCCTGTATGCTAGGCCAGAGGTGGGAACATCTGACTCCTTCCAGATGTTCCTGGATTACAGCTTCATGTGCTCCAACTAGCATGGCCAAAGTATAGAAAGGAAATTGGAAGTTGTACTTTAATATTAGAGCGAGGGCCACAGGATCCCTTTCTATTCCTATTTCAAGACTGCATAACTTCATCAACTCAAGTGTCACACAAGACTTTGTGTGGCATTCCAGTGGTCACATTCAAAAAGTGGGCAGGAACAGGATCCTTTTTTGCTTGCTATATTTATATCCCAAGAACCAGTTTGGTCTAGCAGTTAAAGGTGCTGGACTAGATGCTGGGGGACTCTGAATTCCAATTCTGCTGCAGGCACAAAAGCCAACTGGGTGACTTTGGGCCAGTCCTTCTCTCTCAACCCTAGAAAGAAAGCAAGGGCAAATCATTTCTGAAAAATGTTGCCAAGAAAACTGCAAGGACTTGTTCGGTAGTGACTAGCAGTCAGGACTGACTTGAAGGACCATAACCTTACTTGTATCCTAGTGAGCACAACTTAAACCCCCAATTTTGTCCCTTAAACTATCTCCCCAATAATAACCAAAAAAGGCCCCTTTTGCCTTCAAACCTATAACTTGCTCTAACGAATAGAACACAGAAAGTTTATCCCCATATGAAAAAAACCACTTAAATCATTATCATACAATCCTGGTCATAATAAAAGATTTCAGTAGTAACAACCCAGAATCACATACAAGGGACCTATTTGATTTGGTGTAAGATATGTATGTTACTATTGGTATTTTTATGCCTATGGGGATACATCTTTTATGTTATTATAGAAAATTATAGTTAAAACTCATCATGGATTTATTTGTTTATGGTTAAAATATATGGGTTATTATTACTGGTACTTTTGCTGTGTAAGATTGATTTTTTTTATAATTTGGCTATTATTAAGGGATGGGAAAAAGAGGGTTTTTTTGTAATAATAGACAAGGTCTCAAGTTACTGTAAATGTTTATACTTGTTTGGAGGGAGGAAGAAGTCACCTTTTATATGTCTTTCTTTCCCTTTCTTTTCTTTCTCTTTTTCTCTCTTTTTTCTTTTTCGTTTGTATATCCTTTTTCGTTCTCCATTAACTAGCTTTTATCGATGTAAAATTTTAATGAAAATATTATATCGATATAAAATAACCAAAAAATGCCAAGGCGGGGGGGGGAGGGCTGGGCCCACTCTGGAGGATAAATAATGACTGTTAGTGGGGCTTCTGCAGCCCACGTTTCGCTCCCATCTTGTATGCGAAAATACCCCTAGATAAAAGAATGATTCCACCCCCACCTTACCAGGTGAGCTACTGTTCCCCATTTACCAAAGAAAAGAGTGCATTATTAAAAAACACAATTTTGAGAGAAATTGAGTTCATTAAAGCTTGCTTCTTTACGCCTTGCATTTAGCTCAAAAATAACCGCAGTGCTGCGTGAGCTGGTATGGGTTGCTAATACGTTGATAATTGAAAAGAAGCAGGACAAATAAGAATGTGGCCGCTATTAAATCCCCAGCAAAGCAAAGCTTTTCATTCAGCTGAAACATTAACATATTTCATCGCCAGTCCGTTTGCGAGATAGGACAGCATCTTTTCCATTTTACGGACCAGGGAACTGAACCCAAGGAACAGCGATACAGCTCTAAGCCAAAATAATACAGCTAAAAAGAAGCACAAGAAAATAACATTCTTTTGGAAACTGGATTGCACTGGATGCCAAGTCAAGGGAGAGTGAAACTGCCATGCCTTCTAAGCTCAAAAACTCAAAAAGCAGGCTATTATTATTCCCCATATGCTCAAGAATCGTCAAGCCTATTTGTATTTAACTTCATTAGGAAAACATAATTTAAGCTGTGGATGCAGCCACCTGGCTCCATATCTCTCTTCCTGTTGATAGCCCAGTGCTGTTTGTAATGCTATTCATTTCTGCGTGAACTTCCAATGATGCAGAAAACATTTCCAAGATTAGCTGATATTGGAACTGAAAGCTTTAAGAAGTCATTAGGCAGGCCAGGGTCTAGGGCTGAAATCACTTTTTAATGCCTAAAATGAGCATCTTTAAAGACTCCAATGTCTGTAACGTTTAATTTTCTGTATAATGTGCCAGTTCAAAAAGATGGGGGGATGTAGCAATTTCATTGCCCATTGGCTGTTAACAACAAAATGACCATTATGGCAATGGCAATACTATCCCTCATTCCCCATCTCAACTATTCAATTTGGATTCCACTTATACCAAACATCTCAAATTCATTCTCAGGAATCAAGCAAGGTAGTAGAACATCTCACATCTCATGCTCCAAACCAGACCCATGATGACAATCAAGGACAATCCTATCAACTCTAAAGCTCTCCACTGAAACTAAATAATGCTGAAGCCGCACCTATCTTGGAGTGTCCTCTGTGGTTGCTGATAATTTGAATGTTCTAAACTTTAGTTCAATGGGTGCTTATTAAAATCTTTAAGCTTGGGTCATTGTCAGGCTCTTGATCTCTGCCTAAAACCAGAAGAAATTCCTTTTCTGGGCCTCCACCTAAAAAGGAAGCCATTCTTTTTTCCAGTGTCTTTTTAGAAAGGATTTATTCTACTAAGAAGAAAGGAATTAGGTTGCAAGAATTCCAATGACTGAAAAAATTCCCAACATATAGCCAATACATTCCCAACAAATGTTAGGGTGGAGTCTTTCTCCCCCCCCCTTTTTTTTCCTTCTTTTTTTCCCCCTTCTTTCTTTTTATACTGCCTTTCTATGAA